TTCATTTTATGACAGCAGTATAATAGTTTGGTGGAATGAAACTCATTTTAACTGTCATATTTCATTTTTAAGTGAAAGGAGAAACTGTCATCACTATGCAGGTATTGTGATATTTGATTGAAAAAGTCCTTCTTTAATATGTATTCATGGCAAACATATTTTTTGACACTTTTAATGATTATGATCTCCACGTCTTATTTATCTGGAATATGTTCTTGATTTATGGCTGCTATAAATGCGTGGTCAAGCTATGATGAATTGCTCTGAGGTGGCCGCCACCACTGTTCTTTATATAGCGTCCCCTCAGTGTGCTGTCATCCTGATTGTGGACCATCTGCCACCAGAGGCCAGGCTGCAGATGTCCCTTGTCAATGAAATTTGACCTCAGTAAATTTGCAGGTGTCTTTGGAAGGGCAGGGAAACTACCATTCTGCTTTTACGGTATTCCACGTTTATAATGAACATACTCATGTTTGCTTTCTCTCTTCATCAGTTCCTGCTTTTCATGATACTAATCAGAATTGCTAATTCCAATACAGATCATGATCACAAATTCTCTATAGCTCTTAAAATGTGTTCAGCTGCCTATCATTAAGATACTGAATAATGTTTTTTCTCATCTTTTCCGTTTCCTCCTACGGGGCTGGCACATTTCTGTTATATTATTACAACCTACATATTTAAAATTTTAGAACGCTAAGGCCTAATATTGTTCAGTGGTTTATTTAAACTTTATAGTTTTCTGTGTTTAAACCTATAATTTGTAAATGATAGCTTTTTAGAATGGATTTCTTGTGTACTGGAGAGCCCCATTTTATGCCATCTTTGTAACCATAGGGACTGAAAGGTGACAGTGTATGAAGCCCTCTATATTTCATTTTCATATGATTTATTACTTGACAACTGGCAAGAGGGGCATAAAACTGTCAGATTTGCACAAGAACTTTCTTACAAAGAGCTTTTATTAGTACACAACACGTACGTAAATTCTCATATAATCATCCTTTTGAGATCACCCTGGTAGTTTTGTTGCTTTTTTTTTTTCATTTTTTTGGAAAACTTTTTTTTTAGTATATATCTATATTTATTTTATTTAGGAATAATTGACACCAGGTGTACAACATAATGATTCGACATTTTTACGCATAGCAAAATGATCACTATGATAAGTCTAGGTAACATCCATCACCATACAGTTATAAGCGTTCTTCCCTTTTTTTTCTTGTGATTAGGACTTTTAAGATCTACTCTTAGCAGCTTTCAAATGTTCAATATTAACTATAGTCACCATGCTGTAGGTTACATCCCCGTGACAATTATTTTATAGCTGGAAGTTTGTAACTTTTGACCCCCCCGCCCCACTCCCACCAGCCCCTGGCAACCACTGTCCTCTGTTGAAAAACTTTTTTTTTAAATTTATTTAAATTTTATTTTTTTATACAGCATGTTCTTATTAGTCATCCATTTTATACACATCAGTGTATACATGTCAATCACAGTCGCCCAATTCATCACACCACCATCCCCACCCCACTGCCGCTTCCCCCCTTGGTGCCCATACGTTTGTTGTCTACATCTGTGTCTCAGTTTCTGCCCTGCAAACAGGTTCATCTGTACCATTTTTCTAGGTTCCACATACATGCGTTAATATACGATATTTGTTTTTCTCTTTCTGACTTACTTCACTCTGTATGACAGTCTCTAGATCCATCCGCGTCTCAACAAATGAAACGAAATGAAAAACTTTTAAGGTTAAAAAAATCTGTCATGATGGAAAGAGCCTATCAGTTGTTAAAGTAAAGATGCAAAATTGAAAGTAAGACTTTTCCCCCACTTTTTTGTCAGTAATCTATAGAAAGTTTCAAATAAACTTTAAGCCTGAGTTTGACATAAAATTATGTGATTGGCTAAATGTGGATACTGGTTATGAGACTTAAATAAGCAAAAGCACTTTTTAAAAGATCTGATACTTATAATCAGGAAAAAATAGAGTTCTAAAACTTTTATATAAATCTAAATTGTGTCTACGAATATGTGTTTGTGGGTATGTTGTATATATATTTTATAAAACTTATGAAAACATTCCCAAAATAGCGTTTCTACTTAGATAAATATAAATACAAATGTGGATATAAACATCCTGGTTAAACAAAGAAATAGCAAAAAGGTGAGCTTTTGAGTTTTTCAAAATGTTGATTGTAGTCATTTTAGGAAAGATGTATTATTACTTGTCAAACAGCCAGTAGGTTCATCCCAGGGTAGAGTGAGTCAGGGCTGTCCTCCTAGATATACTTACCTCCCCTTGCAATTCTAGCTTCACAGTGAAACTTGAGGAGGATAACCTTTTTTTTTTTTTTTTTTTTAACATCTTTATTGGGGTATAATTGCTTTACAATGGTGTGTTAGTTTCTGCTTTATAACAGAGTGAATCAGTTATACACATACATATGTTCCCATATCTCTTCCCTCTTTGAGAGGATAACATTTAAAATAGAGGAATTTGTTCATATGTTGGTAGTAAACTCAATTTAGCATACTTTCCTGATATAGTCCCTGTTCCTTGCCCTGGTACAAACACTCTTCTCAGATTATCAATGAGTTATCTCTCTAATTGTTATACCCACGTTCGAGGACCTTTCCTCCTCTGCATTCCATGCTGAACATAAAGAGGCACCTGTCTGACTTCCTACCCACTTCACAGTGTCAAGGTGAATGTGGCCAAATCTGTCTGCTGCTTGGCCTCCTGTGGTCCTCCTAGACCATCTTATCTTCCTTTTTATGGACCGAGTCCCTGAAGACAAGCAGCCTTCTGACCCCGGGGCTGAGAGGGAGCTGCCCTCGCTCCCTCCTCCTGCTTGGACATCCCCACACTTCATTCATTCAAACAATCACCTGGCTTTCATTGTCTTCCCTTTCTCTCGTTAAGTTCTCTTGGTCATTTAAAAATATGCTTGGGGTTCAAGCGGGTTCACAGGTCAAACCTGATTTAAAATGAGTGGCTGGAGGAAATCTGGAGATCTAACCAGTAGTAGATTTTTCACTCCAGGTCTGCATATGGCATCTCTGTTGCTGAGAGGCAGCCTGTGTTTTCACCCTGGTTCTGCCAGGCGCTGCGCTGTGACCTTGGGCAAGTTACTTAAACTCTCTGTGTCTGAGATTTTTTGTAATGGAGATGGTAAAAATCCTTACAGAGTTGTAGTGGAAATTAAATGAATAAAGCATCCATGATGGCACCTGTCAGAGAGTAAGTGCCCCGTAACTTGTACTGTAGTCATTGCTGTTCTCCTTCCAGGAGTGGGCCTCTGTCAGCTCTCCTGGAGGCTCGGAGCTGACCCGGGCCTCTCTTCCCTTGGCACAGTGATGTTTGCACTTTGGCTAGTGACCTGTTCCTATGTTTATTTTAGCATCCATCCTAAAACTAACATCCTCAAATACGTGTATTAGCTGGTCATGACAAAAATACCAGAATTTTTATCAAAGAGAAAACACATGCTGCAGTACATGGGCACAACGCTGTAAGAGTTAAAACACACCTGTCAAATGACTCTAGGTTGGCTGAAAACCAAAACAAAAGTTTGCTTTCACCCCCTATTTATTTTTTGGCCACCTAGAAAGCCAACAGCTCTCACCTGATGGGGACATTCACTCATGGGCTGACCCTCTGGGTCCTGTGTGGCATTAATAGTTTTCTGCCCAAAGCAGCTCTTGCCTAGCTGGAGAACTCCATCTTGATAAGCTGTGCCTCAAAGTAAAGAAGACGTAGAACATCATTGCTGGTCAGCGCACTGACCTTCGGGGTCTGGGTGAGTAAAGTGGTGCAAAGTGGTGTCTCGGGGTCAGCCAAGTCCGTGCTATGATGGCCGTGCCTCCAGTCAGTTTTCATTCGTGGGTGCTGAGCCTCGGAGAGGCTGTGGGTCTGAGAAACTTGGATCACTCCTTAAAAAGTGAGTAACAATAAATCAACTTTCTAGACACCACCGCTTTTCCGGTGTACCAGACCTGGAGGGGGTGATGACTCGCAGCGGGGGGCTCTGACTCTGTCCTGAGCCTGCAGCTGGCGGTGGACCATCTGTGGCCAGTGCCAAGCTAACAGGTAGAGGTCTCAGGTTATGTGCCTGTATCAATGATCAGTAAAGAGCAGAAGACATGAGAGACACGTGCATAACTGGGAATACTATCTTTTTATTCCTCATATAAATTTGTGGTGAACCATTTGGTTGGCCCCTTTGGAGATCTGGCATTCGTTTAGAATTTCTTACCTATCTTAATTTACAATGGGATTGTTATTTTTCTCTTTTATAAAATTGAACTATAGTTGATTTACGATATCATGTTAGTTTCAGGTGTACAGCACAGCGATTCAGTTATACATGTGTGTACATATATATACTTCAGATTCACTTCCCTTATAGCTTATTACAAGATATTGAGTATAGTACCTTGTGCTATACAGTAGGTCCTTGTTGGTTCTCTGTTTTATATACTGTATAGTAGTGTGTATATGTTAATCCCAGTTTTCTAAGCTAGATGTCTTTGGAATAGAAATTTTATCCAGCTTCTACTTATACTGAGGGTAATCCACAAGAGTCTACCAGTCCTGGTCTTTGAATGGTTTTACGGGGCTCTGAAAGAGAAAAAAAAAGAGTTGCTCAGCGACAGTGTCATAATGTAAGGGTGTGAGTCACCATTATGTTCCCCAGCCAGAGTTGCTGGGACAAAATGAGATGAGTCATGTTGAAAGACCCATGTCTGACACGTGGTATGTGATCATTAATTCCTCTCCCCACAGCGTTAATTAGTACTTAGAACACTGAAACAGGTTTCACTAAGAAAACCAACAGCTCCATAAGAGCAATGTATAGCATTTATTTTTATAGTTATTTCTTAAAAGTCAATATTGCAAACGTACGAAAATAATTGAAAATCAGCACATACCCCAATGTACCACATAGGTTGCAAATGTTAAAATTTTGCCATAAATGCCTTAAATTCTTAACGACATGAAACCTTACAAATACAGTGGTAAGTCACCTTCCCTACCTGAGCATACCTCATCCTTTCCCTGACTTTTGCGAGAGAGCTCTATCCTGGCGGTGTACATTCTCCCCATCAGTGTTTTTAACTTAGACTACATACCTATGTATTCATGAATAATATATAGTGTTGTAGGTTCTATAAAAGTTTACATAAGCAGTATAATAACGTAGTGCATCCTTTGAACCTGTGTTTTTCACATACTCATTTGAGGTTTGAGTGTAGAACTTCTTTCTTTTAGCTGCTGCGTAGGATACCATTGCCTGAAATATTCCATAACTGATTTAGATACTTCATATATGTTATTTATTTATCACAAAACACTGTGAGGGGGCTTCCCTGGTGGCGCAGTGGTTGAGAGTCCGCCTGCCGATGCAGGGGACGCGGGTTCGTGCCCCGGTCCGGGAGGATCCCACGTACCGCGGAGCGGCTGGGCCCGTGAGCCATGGCCGCTGAGCTTGCGCGTCCGGAGCCTGTGCTCCACAACCGGAGAGGCCACAACAGTGAGAGGCCCGCGTACTGCAAAAAACAAAAACAAAAACAAAAACAAAAACCACTGTGAGGTGTTTTCGACTGGGTTTCAGAGCATGTATTCAAACCGAGGTTTCTCCAATTCCATTAAGCCATGCTTTCAATAACTATCAGCAAAATAAAGTTGGAAAGAATGAGCCAGCAGGTTGTCTGCTAGTGTGTATCTCTGGGATCTGAACGTAAGGGAACGTGGTGGTTATCTCTCCTCCTGGCCTGGCGCCGGCAAGATCAAGGCAGCCTAGTCTGTGCTGGGGCTGCGCTGCAGGAGGGCCCAGGGTCGGTGGGAGTCAGCTGCAAACGTGGTAAAGCAAGACATTTAGAAAACAATTGATTTACAGTGTTGTGTTTCAAGTATACAGCAAAGTGATTCAGTTATACATATATAAATACGTACATATACTCTTTTTCAGATTTTTTCCACAGATATAGTTCCCTGTGCTATACAGTAGATCCTTGTTGTTCACCCATTTTATATATAGCAGTGTGTATCTGTTCATCCCAAACTCCCAATTTATTTCTCCTCCCCACCTCTACCCGCTTTGGTAACTATAAGTTTGTTTTCCACGTCTGAGTCTATTTCTGTTTTGTAAACAAGTTCACCTGTATCATTTTTTAGATTCCACATAAAAGTGATATCATATGATACTTTGTCTGATTTTTTTCACTTAGTATGATAATCTCTAGTTCTATCCATGTTGCTGCATATAGCACTATTTCATTATTCTTAATGGCTGAGTAATATTCGTGTGTGTGTGTGTGTGTGTATGTGTGTGTGTATACACCACATCTTCTTCATCCATTCATCTGTCAATGGACATTTAGGTTGCTTCCATGTCTTGGCTATTGTGAATAGTGCTGCTGTGAACATTGGGTACATGTATCTTTTCTAATTAGTGTTCTCTCCAGATATCAATAACATTTTTGAGGCCTAAAAGACCCTGAGGGACAGAGAAAGTCATGGATCCAGCCCTCAAGGAATTTAAAATCTAGCAAGGGAGACAAAACTAACATGAAACAGAACAACTGGATGCCGAACAGCTCGGTGCGTGCTGTGCCCCCTGCCAGCTTTTACAGAAATGGGATATCCTGTATCCTGTATTTTTCCCCGCATCTTGATTTCTCCCTCAACAATACCTTCTGGAGATCCTCTCAAGGCATCTAGCATAGAACTAATTTATTTTTAAAGCCTGTGTAATATTCCATACTATGGACATATCTTCATTTATTTGACTATTCTATTATTAATGGGTCATCTCCTATTCACTGTTAATGGCTAAAAAACTTTAATAGTTAATGTCCTCGTATATATGTCCCTGTGTGTTCAGATTTCGGCAGGAGAGTTTACCAAGAGTGGCATGATTGGAGAGGAGGGCATATGTATTTTTAATTTTAATTGGTGCTTCCAGATTGCTTTCTAAAAAGGCTAGAATTCACCACCACCAATGTATGAGTGTCCTCTCCTGACATTGTCACTTCTAACAGTTACATCTCTTTTTAAGTGTCTGACAGTATATAAAGTTATATCTAATTATCATCATTTTCTGCAGCCACTAGGGAATATAAATGCCTTTTTTGGACATTATGTTGGTTATTTTTGCTGTGTTGTCTACTGCTTGTCTTTTGCCTGATTGATATTATTAGCCTTTGGGTTTTTCCTTGGTTAGTTTGTAAGAGCTGTTTATATAGAACAGATATCAACACTTTGTCATCTGTATTACAAATATTTGGACCAGCAATATCATTTGTCTGTTGGCTTTGTTTACCAGCCAGATCACTGAAGGATGATAGCAGCAAACTGCGTTTCATCAGCTCAAAGAAAAATCTAATTCTGTAAGTTAAGTAACCTTTTGGAAGGGTCCATGAGTGAAGTATGATGTCAATGGGTATGGTACAATCTGCTCGTTGACGAATGTGGTAACTCACTGCATCACCCAAATTTTCTATCACTCATGCTTTTCTGATGTTCTTCAAGCCACACGGCGGAATACTCACATGTGTGCCTGACGTATAGGAAAACACGGTTTGATTTTCCAGTAGCTCTAATGCACTCAGCTGATCTTTCTTCCTTATGGAAATAGAGTCCTGAAATACTGTATCTTTTTTCATTTCTAAATTTTTATCTTTTTAGAAATCACACCATCCTCAAAGCCTCATCCACCTGTTGTGGGCAAAGTGACTCATCACAGCATTGAATTATACTGGGATCTGGAGAAGAAAGTCAAGCGGCAGGGACCCCAGGAGCAATGGTTCAGGTTTTCTATTGAAGCAGAAGACCCCAGAATGCACACTTACGGTATCATTTATACGTAGGTGCAACGTTGAACTGCTTAACATTTTGCTTTGATTTCTTGATTAGCTGGAATGGTTTCTATTGTCTCCAAGAAGACTCATTGTGAAATTGAAGGAATGAGTCAGCATCATTTGCATTCATTCTTTTCATGAGTGATGAATTTTGGAAAATAAGGGTGAGCAGTCACTTTGAAATTAAACCTCTTAGACCTTTGAGAGCCCCTTAGGCTTCTGAAATATTCTAATGGTATATTTAAAAAATCCAAAACGTAGAGACAGAATCAAAGGAGAGTTGGATGAAATCAGATGAGGTTCCGCTCAGGCTGTTCTGTTCACAGATGTGACAGCTTCCCGGACCTCGGGAAGTTGTTCCCTTGTTAAGTCTTTCCAACCAACCTGCTACCTTTCTCAGCCTCCATCAGAACCTGTCTTTTGTGCCTTTTCCTTGAATGCACTTCCTTCTATTTTTATACAGCTGGTTCCTTTACACCATGCACATATTATATCAAATACTGGCCCCTCCTCAAAAGGCCACCTGAAGTAGGCGTTCTTCCACCCAGCTGTCCTCTCTGCCATGACCTTGTTTCATTTGCATTGTGAAACCTAGCTCTGCCAGAGTCATTTTACTGTCTACTGTTCATTTTCTGTCTCCCTACCATCATCTAAACTCCACGAGAAGCAGGTAAGATTCCTGCTTGCTTAAGGCTCTTTCCCCAGCTGCAAGACACTGTCAGCACATAGGAGGCCTTCAGAATATTTGTTGTGTCAATAAATAAATGAATGCAACAGGAATAATCAAGAAGTCATTTTTTTTTCTTAGCCTTCACTTCAATCCTTATTTCTTCCTTTGACAGCCTTTGTGTTTTAGGAAGAAGACTAGGAATGAGATGCAGATACGGTTTTATATTAAACTTTTAATTTTGACATAATTGTAGCTTCACATCTGGCTGTAAGAAATAATACAGAGAAATCCCAGGTACCTTTTACCATTTTCCCCAGCGGTAACATTACGGAAAACCGTAGGGCAATATCACAGCCGGCATCCTGGCACTGCTGCAGTCAGGGAACAGTTGCAGCTCTTTGCTGGACTTTTCTCCAGGTGGCGTTGTGGTAAGGGTGCTGATGTGAGGGTACATACGCAGGCTTCGACTGTTACCTGAACCATGGTATCCCTGCGATTTGATGAACGATTCTTTGTACCTAGAAAAGAAAACATGCATTTACCTGAAATGTAGTTGCCATATGAAAATAATTCCTGGCCCGACTACTTGAAGTGTTATTTTAATCATGTCATGTCATGTGTTATTCTCTGGTAAGTAGTTTCCACCCAAAAGCATGAATGATGATATAACAAGTATTTCTGTGGAGAGAGAAAAAGGTATTTTGTTTCCCGTGTTTCTCTTGCACCACAAACCATGCTTGGGCAGGTTAGGTGGGGCTGTCCTGGGTGCTCCGTTGTGTCTCCACTTCTCCTTTGCTGGGTGATCAGCCATGTCCACTGGCCTCCAGCCTGTGTGTCTCTGTGTTGTTATGTTTCCCCCAGAGACCTGAGTGCTGTCTGGCCCGGGAACTCGTCTGGATGGTGGCCTGGCATTGCAGAGCCAGCAGCGAGGCTTTCAGGCCCCCAACTCTAAGCGAGGTTGTGAGATGCTCACTTTCCCTCAGAGAATTAGCACAAACCTTGACACTAGGTGGCAGAGTTAGACTGTGTTAATCCTGACCTCTTTTCGCCATTATATCGCTTTTCCCTAGGTGCATCGTTAAAACTAGCAAATGCCTTTCTTTGAAAAAGCGATCATCTAGACTATCTGACCTTGGGATTGTGGATTTAAGAACTTCGTTTTGACCTGTCAGCTTCTGTTCATCCTCTCCAACAGCCAGTCTTGAATCAGTGCTGTTGTCTTTGACGCGGGCTCTCCTCACAGCCAGTTATATATAGTTTTCATGAGTTCTCCCTTTGCACATCCCTTCTATGCTTTCCCTTGTTAGATTGCGGCATTTCCCCTACTAGGACGCAAGTAGGATCTGTGTTCTGACTTGTCACTGCTGAATCCCCAGGTGCTACAACCGTGTAGCTTATTTGCTGATTGAATGAATTGGCCATTGCCCTCTCTCCCTTCCTTCTATCTCGCTAGGTTAATTTTCTTTTTAATCTTCCTTTTGTCAAATTGTCTTCGATGGGTTTCCATTGCTTGAAGAATGAAGGTCCAACTCCTTACACTAACATTTGATGCCCTTCACAGTTTGCCCACAACCTGCCTTTCTTGCTGTTTCTTATTTCTGGGCATACACCTTTCCACGAAATCTGCTTTACTGTCCTTCTAGTATGCCTTGGCTTCTCCTGCATGTGTGTTCAGCTGTTTTCTCTGTTCAGACAAATCTCTCCTGCTCCATCCTTTCTTCCACCCAAGTCAGATTCTACCTCGACTGAGAAGCTCCCTTTACTCTCCTATTATCTGCCCCTCTAAATTCCTATGATAATTGGTACCCTTATCATGCATTTCATTCATTCAGTCAGCACCTACGATGTGCCACACACTGTTTTGGATGCCGGGGATACAGCACTAGACAAACAGACAAAAATTCCTCCCTCGTGATGAGGAAGACAGACAATAAATAAGATACATAAGTAAAAATATAGTGTGTCAGATGGTGGTTAAGTACCAAGTGCAAAGCAGAGGAGAATAGTTGGGGGCTTGGAGTGGAGGCAAAGAAGGCTTCACTGAGAAGGTGAATCTGTGTAAAGCAAGTGAGGGGTGTCTGGAGCCTCATGAGTATCTGGAAGAATATTCCAGGCAGAAGACACAGCGGGCAGAAGTGTCCGGAGGTGGGATCGTGCCTGGCGTTCCAGAAACACTGAGGAGTGAAGTGAATGAGTAATGGGGTGGGGCCAGCGCGGGGACGGGTCTTGGGGGCTGTCACTCTGTGAGGTGAGAAGCCACTGGACACTGATAAACTGGGGAGGGGTCTGGTGCATATGCTTCGTGAGGGTCACTCTGCCTGCTGAGTGGAGGACAGGCTGTGAGGAGGGAAGGCGGCCAGAGCAGGGAGGGCTAACTAGGAAGCTTCTGCAATAATTTAGGTGGGAGATAACAGAACAGAGTGCGAAAAGTGGTGAAATGAGGGCTTGTGAAGATAGATTTGAAGAGTTTGCTGGTGCACCAGATATGGGATGAGAGAGAAAGAGGGTAGTCAAGGGGCATCAGTAGCATCTCAGGATCGGCCCCATTGGGCTGCAGGAAGCAGCAGCTCCGGAAGCTCAGTGGCTCCCAACGGCAGCCGTGTATTTCCCACACGGAACACCCGTGGTGTGTGGCCAGGCTGGTGGAGTGGCCTCTGCCTGAACGTGGCTACTCATGGTGCCAGCAGAGGCAGAGACTGGGGCTCCCCGTTTCTTGAAGCTTCCACCCGGAATGACACACTGCACCTCTGTTTATATTTCATTGCTCAGAGCAAGTCCTGCCACGTCTGAGCTCCACAGCACTGGGATATAGAGTCCTTGGGAGGGCTCCAAGTACCTGTGAACAAAATCCAGTTTTCCACAGGTGGCACCAAGGTTTTGGCCTGAGCAGCTCAAACCACGGAGACTCGGGATGCAGCGGAAGCTCGTTTGGGGACGATCAGGCATCCAGGTGGAGACATCAAGGAGGCAGTTGGGGAAGAACCAGCCAGGGGAGAGTCTGGGCTGGAGAAATGGATTTCAGAGTCATCAGCAGGTGGCGGGATTGGAAAGCTGGGGGTGAAACATAGTGGGAGAAGAGAAGTCTGGGAACTGAGTCTCTGGGCATTTCAGTACTTACTTTGTTATGTTTCATGTTTGCTCAGCTCTTGCATCAAATATTTGCTTTGGCCGATAACGGAAATAATGGTATGCTTTACACTTTGATATATTTCCTCTACTGGAAATAGAACTCGGAAAAGTTCTAAGATTGCTTCATCCTTTGAGCTACCATGCCTGGGCCGTGTAAAGAAGTGCATCTCCAGACGTTCGATACACAGCTGTTCTGAGATGTCCCTGTGTCTGTGCCGCAGTTGGTGTCACCCCTGTGTGTCTGCAGTGTAGTCGTGGAGGACCCTAGTGAGCAGCTGTGTCTCTGGTCCTCTCCATGGGGCCACTCTACTGATGCTGTGAGAGCCTCCAGCCTCCAATCACTGTGCCCAGTGGTATCTGTTTTCTCAGACAGTTCTGTAATTTATCTTTCCAGGGGTTATGAAGGTGCTGTTTGCTTCATGGTGATCTTACGATGTTTAGCACCGTTGGATTTTATTGGGGGCACTTTTAGTTTTATTTTGGTCTAAAACTATGTTACGTCTTTGCCACCTGGCAATTAAATTCCATTGAGGTTTGAGCATTGTAGTCTCACTGAGCTCCTAAAGATCTTTTCAGATGCCACAAATTGAGGGCTCAGTTTCTATGATTCAAATAGCTATAGTTATGCACCTCTGCTCATGTAACAATAAAACCCACCCGCTCACAAGACTACTTTGTGCCAAGCTGTTATATTTTAGTTTATTGTTGTTGTTGTTTTTTTTTTTTTTTAGACCATGCAGTTTTTCTGAACATTTGTCTTGGTTTCAGAGCTTTTTCTTTCATGGTAAATATATTTGTATCTAGTTTTAACACTTCTGTTTTTTTGGTTTCTTAAGGCTGTCGGTATCATTTCCTGATTGTCTTTATTATAGTTTCTTTGTTGTTGGTACATGATGTATCAGTTATCTATTGCTGTGTAACAAACTGTCCCAAACTTAGTGGTTTTGGTCAAAGTGTAAAATACATGCTTGCTCATGATCCTACAATTTGGGCAGCATGGGGAGGGCAAGTCTCTGTTCCACGTGGTTTTGGCTGGTGCAGCTCTTTTGGGGCTGAAGGATCCAAGTGGTGTCACTCATGTGTCTGATGCCTCTGCTGGGGCAGTGGGGACATTAGGCGGCTGACCGGGCTCCTTTGTTTTCCTTCATTGTCTGGCATCTTCCAGTGACTCTCACCAGGCAACCTGTCCCTCCAGTGGGGAAGTTGAACATCTTTACATGGCAACTGGCTTCCAAGGGAGCAAGAGCAGAAGCTGCCAGGCATATTAGGGCTGGGCCCAGAATTGCACAGCATCCCTTTGCCACATCCCATCCTATTTAAGGGGAGAAGAATTTGACTCTTAACGGTGGGAAGAGTATGTGCAGCTGCAGGATGGGAGGGGTAGCTAAAGGCCACCTTGACTGACGTGGCTTCTTTAGGTGGAGAGAAGTATGCTTCAAGGAAGGGTAGTCTCAGTGAAGAGGGCTGCATCCACCCTTGAAGGGCAGGAGAACACAGATGAAGGTCAGAAGGGCCTCAATGTCCCCTGTGCCACCGCCCCCCCCCATCTTCTTCTTGGCTCGGTTAGAGCTCTGCCCAAGAAGTCACTTAGGTTTTGGTGCCTGGAGTAACTTGTGATGTAGAAAAGGGGGATCTCCTAGTATTCTGGACTTCATTTCAGCTTAAAATTGTACGTTTTGGATAATCGACAAAGGGCAAAGGGTCTTTGGAAAACATTTCCTGTTTTCAAACGTGGTCCTCCAGGTCTCTGAGCTGAGACTCCTCTCAGGAGCACAGATCCAGACCTGCCTGATTGCCCGACACTAGATTTTTCTGTCAGTTACCCTTTGCTCTCACCTAACCATTCATTCCCCTGAGATTCCTTGTCCTTCCAGTCCACGTGGCTTTCTCAGACTGCCTGGGTCCTTCCTTCCCCTGCCTATCCTCCTGTCTGTTCTGGAAGTTGCTTGCCCCATGTCTCACTTTACATCAGAGGCCTCTCTGCTAAGGACATGCTTTGGGGCCCCCTCTCCCCTCACTCACTCCTCACAGTAGAGGAGTTACTTGTCTGATGGGTGAGTTTGGGAGCTAGAAGGCTTTCTGGGTCATCTTAAACTGTCCTGAAGGGTTCGCCTCCCCCTGGAGCAATGGTGGGCTTGGCTCTCTATGCACTCTGGGCACTGTGCCTGCATCTTTGGGGAGACACTGCTTTTCCAGTGGGTTTATCAGTAATGATGGCAACTCCAGTGCTGTCATTTCAGCCTGATGCAGCTGTCACGCCTCACTGTCCTGGACTGCCCCTGTTCTTGCACCCATCAGCAAGAGTTGACAGATGCATCTCGGCCCTGAACTGGTCCAGGGCTGCATCCCCAGCCCGGCCCAGCACCTCCCAGGTAGTGGGCACTAGATAGGTTTGGTGAGTTGCATGGAAAGGAATTGATGTATAAATACTTAGGTAGCACATCAACATTTTTGAAAGATTAGTTGTGAACCCCAAAGTATGATTCTGGCCTCTGTACAAGTCTGCTGAGAATGAAGGGAAAGTTATAGACAGAAAATGGGAAAAAAGGTGGTAAGCCTGGCATCCAAGGGGCTGTGGAGAGTGTCCTGAAGGGAGGAGGGCAGGGCCTGGGCTGGATGTGGAAGCAGGAAAGAAGAGCTGGAGATAGTACATCCGCACTCCCTCTCCACCCACCCTGCACACACACAGATCAAGTCTTTGAGGTGTAAGGAAAGAAAGATTTAGATGAAGGCTTCGAAAAGAGATACATGGAATTTAATCAGATGCTAATAAAGGTTTTCGGCAGCAAAGGGGAGCTGAGATTTTGGGACTGTTGGGATAGACATACAACTCCTTGGACCTCTGGAGACCTGGTATCCTAGAAAGTGCGGCAAGTCAAAACCAGACCCCCAGGCCCTGCTTCACGGCCAGAGGGCCGGGATCTCGGCGCCTTCACTGGGTCTCAGCCTCTCCTGAGCCGGCAGCACTACCCGCCTGCGTTTCCTGGTGCTCGTTTTTCCGCTCCAAACGATCCAACTCAAGTCTTTCTGCCTGGAGGCCTGCAGATTTCTCCATCGCAGCCTCAAATCAGTTTTCTGTTCTCCAAGTGTTCAGCACCCGCTTCCTACAAACGTTTTCCTAGGTGAACCTGACTGTGTGGCATGATGGGAGAGTCATTTCTGTGCTGCCCATCTCCCCAGCTGCCCGGAGGCTCTGACCAGTCACGCCCTCTCCCTGCAGTGGGATTTTGCCCGCAATAGGTACAAAGTGGCGCCCATCCACCCGAAGACCCCACCCAGCAGTCACGTATGTGCTGCTTGGACTGCTGAGCTTAGCTTTCAGTTGTGAAACTTTGCCATATGAGGACACACACACAAAAAATCATGGGTTAATGTGATCATTTCTCCAAAGTACAAAATCGTGAGCCAGTTGTGTGTCAGCCCTGGGGGTGGGGGGCTGTGGCATCGAGGGCACCTGCCGGGCAGGGGTGGATGCCTGTCCTGTCCTCCATGCTCAAGAGTTCAGCCCAGGGTGAGAGACGGACAGCCACCAAGGTCAGCTCTGTACCGGGGGTAGACAGTGCTCAGAAATCCCTTCCACTTGCTCTTCTAATACCTTTCAGAGGACGCTGCCCCGATTACCTGGTGTCATCATCACATGTGTCTCCTTCCGTCTAGGGGATATGCGACTAAGCATGTTGTGGAAGGTCTGCACCCACGGACCCTGTACAGGTTTCGACTGAAGGTCACCAGCCCCTCCGGAGAGCATGAGTACAGCCCGGTGGTCTCGGTATCTACGACCAGTGAGTATGCAGAACTCGAAACTCATTTATCTAAAGGTGACAAGCAATGTGAAGGTGAAGGTATTCTGCTTTCTGCTTGGCCTTACCGGAAACAGAAACCGTTCCATTTCTAAGCACTGTGATAACATTGTTCACTGGCCGGGCTTGGCTGTCGCATAAGGGAGGTTGAATTACGCTTGAACAAATGCAAGAGCTGTTTTGTGCCAGCGCTTCCCTGGGAGGGCACGTTCAGAAAAAAAAGGATGGAGTCACCTTTCTCAGGAAATGGGCCAGAGGGGTGCGGGCCGAGCAAGGATTCCCACGCGGAGAAACAGGCTGGCCCCGGGCGACCTCAGGTGAGAGGACCACTCAGCATTTCGTCCCTTTTGGACAGCTTCAGTGTATCTGTCAAGACTTGACACAGCAGTCTGATCCCTGGGAACCTGGGGGTGAGGAACAGTGGACAGCACTGCTTCTGTCCACAGGACGCAGGGAGGGGGCCCACACAGAGGTGGGGACAGAGGCCGCATCCTTTGCCCAGGGCAGATCTAAGGGTGCAAATATTTTCTGGGATCAGTATTTTCTTTCTTTTTTTTAAAGATTTTTTGTTTTTAATTAATTTATTTTTGGCTGCGTTGGGTCTTCATTGCTGTGCGCGGGCTTTCTCTAGTTGCGGCAAGCAGGGGCTACTCTTCCTTGTGGTGCATGGGCTTCTCATTGCAGTGGCTTCTCGTTGTGGAGCGTGGGCTCTAGGCACGCGGGCTTCAGTAGTTGCAGCACATGGGCTCAGTAGTTGTGGCTCGCGGGCTGTAGAGTGCAGGCTCAGTTGTAGCACACGGGCTCAGTGGCTGTGGCTCGTGGGCTCTAGAGCATAGGCTCAGTAGTTGTGGCGCACGGGCTTAGTTGCTCCGTGGCATGTGGGATCTTCCCGGACCAGGGCTCGGACGCGTGTCCCCTGCATTGCCAGGCAGATTCTTAACCACCGTGCCACCAGGGAAGTCCCTGTGATTGGTATTTTAAAACATTTTGAAGGTGTGTGTGTATGAAGTGCCATCTTTGACCTAGAATATTGTGAAGATTAAAATGGTCAGAAGTGTTTTTCACTTCTGAAAATACCCACCCACCGAAAATACAGACAAATCTTTGTTTTTTTTATAAAGAAGATGTTGGGGGTAGGAGTTTATTAATTAATTAACTTACTTTTGCTGTGTTGGGTCTTCGTTTCTGTGCGAGGGCTTTCTCTAGTTGTGGCGAGCGGGGGCCACTCTTCATCGCGGTGCGCGGGCCTCTCACTACTGCGGCCTCTCTTGTTGCGGAGCACAAGCTCCAGATGCGCAGGCTCAGTAGTTGTGACTCACGGGCCCAGTTGCTCTGCGGCATGTGGGATCTTCCCAGACCAGGGCTCGAACCCGTGTCCCCTGCATTGGCAGGCAGATTCTCAACCACTGCGCCACCAGGGAAGCCCCCAGACAAATCTTTTTTTGATTGCACAAAGGGAGTTAAACATTATTTAAAATTTTTGTGAGTTAAACGTTATTTTAAAATTTCAGTCAATGTAGCATTTGGCTTGTATACACACACACACACACACACACATATATATTTTCTGTGACTTGCAGTTGTGTCCTTTAGGCATTTACTGATGGACATTTTTGTGCAGATGAAAGGTAATTCAGATTTTGAGTTGGTTCATAACACCTTCCGTTGCAAACAAGGCATTAGGGGATTGGATCTCAGTTTAGCGAACTGAGAATTTAGTTAAAGCTGAGGGTGGTGATGCCATATACAACCCCCAAACAGTGCTCAGCTAGCCGTGGAGAAATAGAGTTTCAGAGGAGACTTTTGATGTGAAATGGTCGATTCCAGAGATGCAGATCAGGAAAGAGGGCTTGGCCCTGAATCTGGTGAGGGTGAAAGCATTTGCTTTTCTATGGGAGATATTGAGCTCCTGGAGTTTTTAGGGGCAAGAAAAGAAGGCAGAGCAGCAGACCGAGCCTTACTTCTTTGTGTATTGAGGGAAGGCACAGAGAAGGGAAGAGAGGGGGCAGAAGAAAAGAGGGCAAAGGCAGCCCAGCGTGTGGAAAGGGGCTCTGGAGGGCAGCTCCTCCGGGCCCCCTTTGGGCTCCCTCCCGTCCCCCCCCACCCCCAGCCACTGCTGCACTCCTCTGGCTCTGCCGCTGCATTCTGGGATGCCCTCCCTCCCCACTGCTGGGCCTACCGCGCCCACTCCGGGGCAGAGCTCTGTTCCAGGCCATTCCTCGTGTGGCTTCCCCTGTTTGCTCTGCACTCTGCTCCGCTCCCGCACAGAGCGCTGTCTCACCACCTCTAGTAATGCTCCTTTGCCTCTTATTTTACTTATTCGTTCATCTTTTTTGTCTTCCACCTACCGTGCGTGCTCCTGAGGGGCCAGGGTGATGGGTCAGTCATGTCTAGTTATAGAAGATCCTTAAGAAATGGTTGGATGGATGGCGAACGAAAAGCCCCCAGTCAGTACTGGGGGGAGGAGGAGGTCTGATTGGCTCAGCTTGCCTTCCTGTCTCTTGGGAGATGGATCTGGTTCCCACTGGCTGGGGAGAGGCCCCCTGAACCTGCCGGGTGAGGGTGAACTGGGCATAGAGCCAGTTGTGGTAGGTGGACCCTAGGATCCTGAATACCACATCAAAGCCAGGGCAGGGGCTCCTGGGCCTTTGGCCAGAGGTCACATGGAGTCAGGGCAGCATCTGGAGCTCTTCTAGGAAGGCAGAGACCATCACAGCGCTCGGTCTGTCGGCTGACGAGGGCGGTGCCTGCAGGCCAGGTGTGCCTTCTCCTTGCTCAGCTGGCTTCTGAGAGGCAGCCGCGGAAAATTGGTCCAATGGTCCAAGGCCTTTGTCACTGCAGTCCATGGCTTCCGTGGCTCATCAGACAAGACCTCCTGCGGGGACGAGGGTGGGCTGGAGATGAGGCTCCTGGTGATGCCCTGGGAGCCGAGTGTCAGGTCACAGCACACGTGCCTGCAGCCAGGATGCACTCTCAACCTCAGGACGCTCTCCTGGGTGGGAAGGACCAGGTAACCCTCCTGGCTGGCTGCTGCCGCCTTAGGCTGCTGCTCTTAGCATATCCAAAGCAGACTCTCGTAAGGAGGCAGATCATGCTAAACAAAGAATTAAAAATGTGCACATTATATAAAACAAGTGAAAATGCTTCTGTGGGTTGATAATTTGCATTCGGTTAGAAAGTGCTTTAATGAATCACAAAAGCATGTATTTTGAATAAAGGATGCTCAGCCTTTTCTTCCCCCCCCCCAGGTAAAGGACATGAGTCTCTTGTTTAAATGAGGCAGCATGCAATTTTAATCAGTTGGGCCCTTAAAAAGAAAGGAAAACAGCTGCTGCTTGTTAATTGGCAAATATTTTTTGCCAATGAGCTCATCATTTATTCACTGTTTTTAATAGAGACTTAAATTCCACCAAGGAAGGCGTTATCACCACATTTTAATATCTGTCGGGATATGTGCAGCTAAATGACCCTCTTGCAGAGCATGAGCAGTGGTTTCCCAAAGATCTCTCTGCGCCGCCCCCCTCGCCAGGCATCCCCTCCTGTGGTCCTGCTCGATGACGGGCGTCCTCACCACGGGCAGCCTCCGTTCAATATTTGTAATAATTGTGACACCCTGGTAAACATTAGAAAAACAAACCCACAAAGGCAAAGCCTGCCTTTTCCATATTCCATTGCACTTATTGATAGCAGTCCCTTGGGCCAGGCCCACAATGTCTTGAAGGATTCGGGGGCAGAGGACTGGAACATTCTGCTCACCCTGGAATGTCCCCTCTCTTCTTCATGACTCCCGCCTAAAGTGGGAGTAGAAAGAACTGCTCTGCCCTGCAAACAAGAGCCTCTGCGCTTTTCTGTTCTCTGTCAAATTCCTGTAACCTGTGAGGCTCTGTCGTGCCTCGGTTGACTCCTCTCTGGGCTGGCGGTCATCCTCAGTACCTCGTTGCCTTCCTGGCAGGGGTCTGAGAGGGTTAATGAGTTAGTGCTGAGAAGGAGCTTTCATGCCCCAATGATAGTTATTGCCTCCTTTTGCTGGAACTCAGCAAGCAGGGAATGATGAACAATTATGTTGTTTTCCTTCTCTTCCGTGAGATGTCCCTTTGATCCCAGGATAAGTTGGGAGAGCGCTGATGACCCCTCGCAGAAACTGGAATAGGCAATACATTTATTGAAATTATACCATACTATCAAGATACCCTGGTCTCTGCTATGCACGGTCCTCGAGCTTCTAAGCGCGAAATGAACTTATTCTGATATTTGCACGCTGCACAGCTCCCTGGGTAGGATGGGAAGTGCCCGTACCGGGAGGGCCATGCTGGGCAGGTAAGAGGGATGATGTGGACTGAGGTGGTCAGGGCGTAATGTGCTGGGTGCTGCGTGTGCTTTTAGAGCTTTCCCTCAAATCCCAAGAAGTTAGCACTTTTCCGAAGCTTTCTAAGCTTTAGGCCTCCCCTTGCACTTCGCACTTTGCAGGGGCTGGGGGTTCATGTGTGTGTATTTAATATGTCTGCTTGTATACAAAATTTAGTAAGAGTGAAGCATAGAATGGATTGGTCAGCTACCTCGACATCTATTAAGCCCCAAACGAAGGAGTGTGGCTTTTCGGAAGACCTCCCTTTGAGCTCTGATGTTGCCCCCTCCTGTCTGGGTGACCTTGGACAACTCACTCCGCCTTTCTGGCCCTGTTTTGTGGTCTGAAGGCGATTAAAAGCATCATGTGAAGTTCTAGAGACAGCTTAGTTAATTGGATCTAGTTAGGATACCATACTTTCAAATTAAGTAGAAATAGGATGAGCTTCCTATGTCCTTCTAGATGATTCTGTGCAAATCACTTATTTTGGTGTTTTTAGTGGCAATTGATGTTTGAGAGTCACAGAAGTAGGGGCCGTTTGGTGGGATAATGAAGACTTTCCCACCACACCATCCTTCGCCTCCTTTCTGGGAAGCGAGAGGGAAGAGGAACTTGCCATGTGTTTCATTTGCCCACTAAAGTATGGGTCATGTTAAGTCCGTATGACTCTAGTGCAGGGATTCTCAGCATCTGCGTGGTTGGTGACTGGGGCTGCCCCGTGTCTGTAGGGTGTTTAGAGAGTATCCCTGGCCTCCAGCCACTAGATGCCAGTAGTATCAATCCTTAAGTTGTGACAACCAAAAATGTCACTAGACTTTACCAAATGTCCTCCAGGGGGCAAAAGTCTGCCCCCTCCCATAGCCCCTCGCGAAAGCCATGACCTCCCTCAGAAGGCCAGGGACTGCCGTGGGCCTTGTCCTCTGGTGGGTTATCATGATACATTTATTTGAGGCTTTTGGTCTAAAACTATGCATGGAATGATGAAAAGGAAGTATAATATAGCTAAGACATCTTGAGGAGATTGGCAAGCTCAAGCAGACAAAATTGTTATTTCAAAACAATTTTAACTTGGCTTGAATTTATTTTTACCAGAACAGAAGAAAAGGGTATCAGCTAAAGGTCACTCTGACAGGGATCTCTTCATTCTTCTGCCCCACTGTTTCCCGGTTTGTACTTTGTCCAGCGAAAAATCCTCCAAGGAAACCAGGAGAAAATCGGCTTCTGTGCCTGGGAACTGGCGTCTCAGAGTTTTTCCACCGTGAGGAGCAGGGACTGGGAATTTTACTTCCCCGCTGGCTGAGACGGCCAGGGGCCTCTGCAGGCCAGACTGTAAGAGGGAGGTTAAGGGGCGGGGTGAGGCCCAGGGGGTAGTCTGGGGTGCGGTGGGAGGATAGAGTGGAGGGGATGTTTTCTTTCAGGGTTGAGAATAGTAACAGCTGAAAGTGGGCCCTGCAGTGTGAAGGGCAAGAGAGGGACATGTGTGTCTCATTCTCTCTGGGGCTCCCAGTGTCAAGACTAGGCATGTAAGGTATACATGAACCTTTGTTGGGGGGCACGGGTTTGATCCCCGGTCAGGGAATTAAGATCCCACATGGTGCGGCCGAAAAACCCCACCACCAACAAAAAATGAAACAAATTTGTTGAATAAGTGAATGAGCCTTTTTGAGATGGCCGAAGCCAGAGATTATCAGCTCATTGCCTGTGCAGGCGGGTAGGGTGCTAAGTGTGGGAGGGGGCTGGGCAGCAGGCGGGAGAGAAAGGTGGGCTGCCCAGGACCAGGGCAGCTGCTGCTCTGTTACTATCACCTTGACAACAGATACTTACGACGTACAGGTGCTAGTCCAGCACTTCACTTGTATTATTTCATTTAAACTTAATCCTAATCATCCAAAAAGTCAGAATGTCAGGGAAGGTGAACCAAATGAAACCATGAAATAAACATCCTGATGGACGGGCTTCTTTCACTTGGTCCTGAGCTCACACACTGCTCATTTTTGGACTCCTGCCCCATTCTCTTCCACGAGGAGTTCGTGCACGAAGGGCTGCCCCTCTTCCATTGTTCCTTTACTGTTTCTCAGAATCCCTCGCCTGCTTTTCTCCACTTGGCAGGCTCGCTCCCACAATCAGGCTTTCTCACAATGTTCTACCTCTCTGGGTATGAGCCCTTCTGCCTCCACAAGCTCAGAGGAGGCAAGGCCAACGTGAATGTAATGTTCCTGGGAAGGACTGAAATTGTGGATTTCCAATGTTAAAGCAGTCTGTCTTTTTTCGTTTGTTGTTCACATAGTTTAGTGACTCCTTGGCAAACAAAACCAGCACATTGTGACAATGGTGGAGCTTTCCCTTGCTCATAAGGGACATTTATTATGTCTTCTGAAATCTGAAAGGATTATTTTCAAATATCAAAATAACATCCACACAGCAGTACTTTCATAACTTGAAAATGTCCCAAGCCTTTAGGACAGTCTAAATGTTCTTCTCTTAATATGTGAAAACAAGGTCTATTTTCAGTAGGAGTGGAGTACGTCATGTAAGAGATACTCAGCGGAATTGCCAAGTGCCTTCTTGAAGGTGAACATGAACATCCACTCAAGGCCACAGGAGGAATAGAGCTGGAATGAACCTTCTTTCATTATATTTTGGATGACTGCTTTCCATCTACTTTCTTCAGGAGAACCCATAAGTAGTGAACACTTGCATAGAGCTGTCAACGTGAACGATGAAGATTTGCTGCTTCGAATACTACAAGGAGGGTGAGAGAGCTCTGCCTTTTAAAAACTTAAAAATTTTTTTTAAATGCCCAGTAAGTGTTTAGAAATGCGTTCATGCAGCTTAACTTGATTTTCCTAAAATTGCCCACAGCTTTGAAACTGGCTCCAAAATTGATCTCAGGTGACTGGTGTGAGTGCAGCATGGCTCATAAAGATGACCGTAGACAGCCCCATGTAAATGGTATATTTTGTCATTATTTAATGAACATTGAAAACAGATATGACAAGTCTGGGTGTCATATATTCTTCCCAGAAATAACTTATGACTCTTGCTTATATGCTGTAGCATTTAGGCAAATTTTGCCCCTAAATGCCCGCGTCTAATTCCTGATGAAATTAAGGAATCACTAAATCAGCTGTTTCTAACTCAAAAGGCTGATAAAACCCTAGAGGGAAGATGTTGAATACAGTTGCCGCCAAGGAGATACTTGAAGCTGTCTCCCAAATGAAAACAGGACAACGTTATGTAGATCGTTTTTGAATTGGTAGTTGAGTTGTGCCTTAGAAGACATGTGTGAATTGAGGCTCTGTAAATTGGAGAAGGTTCCCGAAAAACACCACAGCTTCTAAGCTGCTATTGAAGAGCTGGGCTTTCTTTTGTTTGTTTGTTTGTTTTTTTGTTTTTGCGGTACACGGGCCTCTCACCGCTGTGGCCTCTCCCGTTGCGGAGCACAGGCTCCGGACGTGCAAGCTCAGCGGCCACGGCTCACGGGCCCAGCCGCTCCGCGGCATGTGGGATCTTCCCGGACCGGGGCACGAACCTGTGTCCCCTGCATTGGCAGGCGGACTCTCAACCACTGCGCCACCGGGGAAGCCCGAAGAACTGGGCTTTCTTCTTTGAGCAGCAGTGCTTTATGCCCAGTGGGTGCAGTGGGGACCAGGCTCGTGTTGGGTGGAGCTGAGAGCCTGCAGTGAAGCCACTGTGTCCCCCGCTAGTTTAGAGGGGCCGTGCTCTTCGTAGAGGATTTTAGCAGACTACGTAATGGTTCTGAATTGAAGGAAATGCCTATTTTAAGTGAAATTACAGCAATTTCCTCTTCTTTCCTTGTGAATTTGAATCCTTTAAAACATTAGGCAGGGCAGTCTAAGACAACAAAAACTTAATGGCGCAGAAAGAACTGGAATTTTCAGGAAAATGAACCATTTTAACCACCTGTGCCCTGAAAGAGAAGTCAGCTGTGAATTCACAGGGAGCTGTGTGGGCACGTTCATCTCTTTTTTTTTCCCTCTGTTTCCCCCAAGCAACGTGAAGGTTGATGTTCCCAATAAGTTTGGCTTTACTGCTCTGATGGTCGCTGCCCAGAGAGGATACACCAGGTATGGCTCTTCCCTCTGCATCCCTTAGGGAGGGGTTGAGCCCCTCGCTCCTCCCAAAGGCTCCTCTCAGGATGGGGACGGGAGGGGAAGGGCCGTCGGGGGTGGGGGTGGGGGAACCCAGCTTCAGTTCTCTTTCCAAAATTGAGCCATGTAGGGGCTGAACAGAAGTTCAGCTGCTTTTATCATAAAGTCACACAACATGCAGGAGAGGGTATAAAAATGTATAATCATGTGATAAGGAAGAGAGATAGCCATTTTAATTACATTTTGCAAGGTATTTTATATGTCCTGGGAAAACTGGTTATTAGAATGTGAATTTCTTTAAAAAAAAGAAAGGGGAGGGATATTCATTCTAGAAAACAAATTTCCCTGATAGGTTGCTCAGATATAATTTCCACTGACTCAATATTTTCTCTCCTCCTCACGGAGATACACATAAATACTAAGAGCTTATTTTTTCCAACATATTTATATTTAACTAAAATGCCATTTTTAAAGAAATAGAAATGGATTTTCATTAGATTCTGCCATTTGAAAATGTATTTCCAATGGTCATTAAAGTGAGAGTGAGTTAGTTTCATAGTCTAACTTGTTTCATGTGGTATAGTTTTTTGTTTTCAATGACTAATTCACGTAAAGGGTAAAAAACTGTTGTTGTTGTTTTTTTTGGTGTGGAGAGGCAGTTTCTTGCTTTAGTAATGCCCTGTCTTTAAAGCCAGCTGCCTCTGAAGATGGAGAAGAGAGAGTTGCCAGGACAGGTCTTAAATATAGAGTCGTTCACTTTTACTGGGTTATCGTGGGTTCCTATTCATCAAAGCTGCTTATCCAGCGACTCTGAAATTTGTCTTGTTTAGGCTTGTGAAAATCCTCGTTTCTAATGGCACAGATGTGAATCTGCAGAATGGAAGTGGCAAGGACAGGTAGGTATGGAACATGCCCTAAGCTGTCCCCATACTTGTGTTACTAGGCTTGGGTTTTTGATTTACCCAAATATTTTCTCGTTTCTTTTGACAGTCCTGAGAGGTGATAGGTCTCAAAGGAGCGATGGCAACTCAAAAACTGGCTTATTCACTTGTCCACTTATTCTTCCACTCAACAGGGTATTTTGGGGGATATCCATTATAATGCATCTGCCTTCCCTAGCTTGAGCCCGGCAGACACTAAGCGCTCAGTAAGTGATAGTTACTCAAGCAGCTTTCTCCAGCCGTGTGCTGGGCATTTGGTTTTAAGTGCCTGTGGCCCTTTGTACCTCCCTAAGGGCTCTCATTGCATATCGCCTGACTCTGTTAACTAGAAGTCTTCGGTGTTTCCAAGGAAGCAAAAGGCATTCACAAAGATACAACTCAGTTACTTCCCTGAGGTGAAAGGGCTGAGTGCCTTGCAGGAGAAGTTTGTGGAAAGAACATGATACTTGGAAACTTGTTCTTACAATGATGAGAGAATGTTTTAGAAAGACATAAAAATAATCACTAATCTAGGAATTAAGTTTAATGAATTAATTCAAATCAACCAATATTTATTGAATGACTGCCACATGCCAGGCTCTGTGCTTGGCACTTGGGTAGAACAGTGAATAAAATGCAAAGCCTTTGCTCAAGGAGCTTATAGTCACGTGATGTATGCCGATCAAAGGTTTATGCACTGCAAACTAGTATGTAAGGAGTAGCTACAAAACACTGATCAAATATGGTAGAGGCCACAAAGAGGACATCAACTTCTAAAACCAGAAAGCCTACCTACCACACTCTCTGAACATAGTGCAGCAGTAGATTTTAGTAACACTGAAAAAATCACTTAAGTTCAAACAGTAGTTTTTCAAATAACTCTTAGGTATTTTTGGAACTAAGCCATCAATTCAAGAAGTTTGAAAAAATAATAGTGCCATTTTAAAAAGAAAAAAGAAAACTTGAGAGGTATGAAAGAAGAATTTTTAAAAAGTAGAAATTGATTATAAAATTGTTGAGAAATGTAAGAGCTACCTCTTAAACCAAAGCTACACAATAAAATGGACCAATTTTGTAAATCTCAGAGGAAAGAAAAAATTAGAAATCTGAAAGGATCATAACAGTATAGAGCAAATTTAAGCATGAAAAGAAAGTGGTACACCTGCATCTAAAATAGATTTGATTAAATCATTGAAATGGGTACTTTTTAAGAGAAAATTTAAACCATCAAAATCAACTGAAGAAGTAGAACATCCAAAATAGCCAATATCCGTACAAGAAATTAGAAAATTTATTAAAAGATCACCTCCAAAATAGGTTCTGTGGTTTGTCTGTTCTACCAATGAGCTTGTTCAGATTTTCTAGGTACTGATAATAACCTTGAACTTTTGAACTTTTCCACAGCAGAGAGGAAGCTGGAAAGCTACAGAGGATAGCCTTATTGATAAAATCTGATAGAAAGAAAGCTATTTGTACGTCTTTATGTGAAGACATTTATGTATCTCTTCCATCCTAGCTAAGGGATCATGCAGGAGGGTAAGGATGTCTAGATCAGGAAATTTCTTAATGCTTCCCATCAGTAGACTGAAGGTGAAAAAAAGCCTGTGTGTGTGTGTAACTGGTCCTCTGTCTCTTTTTTATTTAAAAAATTTTTTCTTATAGCAATGACTTTTGAGGAGACGGGATCAATTATCTTAGAGGATGCCCTATGTTCTTGATCTGCTCAGTTGTCTCCTAGGTGTGAAGGAGGCATTTAACTTGTTCATTGTTTCCAATAAAGTTAAAATTAGGTTTAAAGGCTTGATTGGATTCAGGTTAACATTTTTAGCAAGAGCACTTCAGAGCTGGTGTTGTGGCTTCAGTTTGCCTCTGTCAGGCCTGTGATGCAGGTTGCCCTCAGTTGGTGATTCTACTTCTCATCCTTTGGTGAGCATGTAACAGCTAAGTCTTTCCTTTGTGAAGATATAGCTTCCCATTGCAATTAGAAAATAATCTATGGGTTAGAAATTCAGTACAGTGTGAATATCCTGTTCTCCATTAAACGTTCATCCAAAAATTTTAGCATCTACTGTGATCCTTGCCTGAATCAGTTATTTAATTGGGACTTGGCGAAAAGTGATTTTCTAATTCCATGATTCCTCCCATATTTATTAGCTGTGTAGTCTTCTGTTAACAAGAGCTTTCCCTCATCAGCTGGGGATGGACTACATTGTATTCTATAGAGACAACATAAATGTTTATTTAAGTACCAATATTTAGAGTAAGGAATTGGTTTAATAGTTATCTCTAATAGTGTCCAATGAGATTTTTTTCTTTCTCTTTTATGAATATCATCATGGACTGGTAGATGTTTTTAAATCCAACATTTTACTCTATTACAGTGATTATTCATTTTTTGGAGGTATAATTCACATACCATAAAATTCATTCTGCTACAATGTACAATTCAGCATTTAAAAATATATCAACAAAGTTGTGTAACCACCATCACTGTATAAATCCAGAGGATTTTCATCAACACAGAAAAAAGCCCTATATTCATTAGCAGTCACTTACCATCTCCTCCTTCCAGCTTCAGCAACCACTAACCTGCTAGTTCTGTCTCTATGGATTTGTCTATTCTGGACATTTCATGTAAATGAAATCATCTTATGTGGCCTCTTGTGTCTGGCTTTTATTTAGCATAATTTTTTTTTTTTTTTTTTTTTTTATTTTTTTTTTTTTTTTTTTTTTTTTTTTTCTGTATGCGGGCCTCTCCCTGTTGCGGCCTCTCCCATTGCGGACGGAGCACAGGCTCCAGATGCGCAGGCTCAGCGGCCATGGCTCACGGGCCCAGCCGCTCCGCGGCATGTGGGATCTTCCCAGACCGGGGCACGAACCTGTGTCCCCTGCATCGGCAGGCGGACTCGCAACCACTGCGCCACCAGGGAAGCCCCTAACATAATGTTTTAAGGTTCATCTACATTGTAGCATATATCAGTACTTCCTTTTTACGGCCAAATTATATTCCATTGTATGGATATACCACAATGTGTCTATTCATCAGTTGATAGACACATACATTTTATGTGAGTAATTTTCATGGCTTTTCCACCCAAATTAGGATTTCTCTCTTAGGTTTAATCCAGGGAGGGTAAATGCAGACCTGAGTGTGGAGACCCCATTTATAGCCAAATGCTTCTTCTGCTGTGTGTTGCAGTCTAATGCTTGCGTGCTACGCAGGACACCTAGATGTTGTGAAATACCTCCGAAGGCACGGTGCTTCCTGGGATACTAGAGACCTAGGAGGCTGTACAGCTCTGCACTGGGCTGCAGATGGAGGCCACTGCAATGTGATTGAGTGGATGATAAAGGACGGCTGTGAGGTACGGATTGTCCTTGTTAACTACACACGTAGAGCTAAGAACCTAAATGCTGTTCTGTAGGGTTTAGGACAAGCAGGGCCTTATGTGGATGTCTTTTGATTAGTTGAACCTAGAAATGCTAGAGAAAGTTCTCTGACTTACGAGCAAGAAAGTTCCTGAAGGCTTGGGAAAAAAAAAAAGATCGTTATAGAATTGTTATGATAACGAGGATTCAGATCGTCATGGAGGTTCATCTCGGGTGGGGGAAAATGAAACAGTGCTGAATCCAGAGCTGGACCTGATGCTTCTTTGTTTATTCCTCTGTTCATTCCCTGTGCCAGCAAAGCTTGATGGTGCCTCTAAAACGCACCAGATACTGTTGGACGTGCTGGACGCACCAAGATGTTCAGAACTCCTACAGCCATACTGCTGCTTATTGCTTTTAGAATTAGATTCTTTTTATTCTTGGGTTTGCTTTAAAGATTAGTCATTAAAAAAAACTTCCGGGCTTCCCTGGTGGTGCAGTGGTTGGGAGTCCGCCTGCCGATGCAGGGGATACGGGTTCGTGTCCCGGTCTGGGGGGATCCCACATGCCGTGGAGCGGCTGGGCCCGTGAGCTATGGCCGCTGAGCCTGCTCGTCCGGAGCCTGTGCTCCACAATGGGAGAGGCCGCAACAGTGAGAGGCCCACATACCGCAAAAAA